AAGGATTTCACTGTTTAGCCAAGCTGGTCGCCTGCCATATTTACTATTCTTTCTACACATCGGGATGGTAGACTATATCATAATATATGAAAGAGAGAGACTCCAATAGCTCAATGTATTTAGTTTTACAAAGAGAAGGTTAAGGGGTGACTTGATCACAGTCTAGTATTGTAGTGGGGTGGTCACCCGCTCCCGGCCTGAAAGGGTTAAAAGCCAGCCCTTGGAGAGGGCTGGCAGCCTTAGGCTGGGCTGATTGGGGAGGCAGCCTCAGCTGTAGCCATGCTCCCAACAGACCTAGCTGGCCCTATAAAAGCCAGGGAAGCCAAGAGCAGACATACAGTCTCCTCTAGCTGTAGAGGGAGATGGGCTGGGCTGGGCTGCTGGGGAGCTAGAGAAGGTACCTGGAGCAGCAGACAGAATGCAGATGGCTGCATGTGGAAGCTGTGGTATGTATATACTCCTAGCAGGGGAGCTGGAACACAGGTATGTTTGTATGAAGTGTCGCCTTATAGTGTTACTGGAGGAAAAGATTAAGGGGCTGAAGATGCAGGTAGATACCCTGGTGGAGTTCAGATGGGGGTTTGAGCAGCTGATGGAGGACAGGCAAGGAGGGGCTGAAGGGGAGTGCTCTGCAGTGCAGGTGGAGGCAGAGGTAGAGGACGGTGAGGAGGGAATGGAAGGGGGAGAACAAGGGAAGTGGCAGCATGTTACTGTGAGAAGCAGGCCCAGGAAAAGGAGGGCCAGTGAGGGGGGAATAGAACTCAGGAACAGGTTTGGGTGTTTGGATAACGAGGTGGAGGGGCAGCAGGTGGTGACTGAAGGTGGGAGGGTGAGGAAGAAGAGAAGAGCAGCTAGTCCAATAGAGAGAGGGGAGGTGTTGATGGAGACAGCACAAAACCTGGGCCCCCAGATGATAGAGGAAGGCATAAGGGGGAGCATAAGAGAAGATAGGAACAGACACAGGTCAGGACTAGAGGGATCAGAGACTAGATTACTAGATCGCACTGTTGCCAGGCGACGGCAGGTGTATGTAATTGGAGACTCTTTACTGAGGAGATTGGACAGGCCTGTGACCAGGGCAGACCCAGAGAACAGAAGGGTGTGCTGTCTACTGGGCGCAAAGATATGCAATGTGGACCTGCAGTTGAAAAGGATCCTAAAAGGAGCAGGTAAGAACCCCTTGATAATCCTTCATGTAGGAACGAATGACACGGCTAGGTTCTCGTTAGAGAGAATCAAGGGAGATTATGCCAGGCTGGGTAAAACACTCAAGGAGATAGAGGCTCAGATTATCTTTAGTGGGATTCTGCCTGTTCCTAGGGAAGGGCAGCAAAGGGCTGATAGGATTGTGAGAATAAATAGTTGGCTAAGGGAGTGGTGCTATAAGGAGGGCTTTGGGATGTATGGCCACTGGGAGGCTTTCGGGGATAGACACCTGTTCTCGCGGGATGGACTTCACCTGAGTAGGGAAGGAAATAGACTTCTGGGAGGGAGGCTGGCTCATCTTATCAAAAGAGCTTTAAACTAGGAAGTTTGGGGAGACGGTTGGGAGATGCACAGTTAATCTCCACGCCAGATTCCAACATTGAAAAGGTGAGTGAGATAAGAGGAGATATAGCCGGGGAGATGAGATTGGACATAGGAAGGACAGGGGGGACGGACACAAAGAGGCCCGCAACATATAGCATTACTAATGGGATACAGGCTAAACAACATACATTAGGGTGTTTATACACCAATGCGAGAAGCCTAGGTAATAAAATGGAGGAATTGGAGCTCTTGGTCCGAGAATTGAAACCGGATATCATAGGAATAACTGAAACATGGTGGAATGGCAGTCACGACTGGAATACAGGTATGGAGGGGTATGTGCTGTTTAGGAAAGACCGGGACAAAGGTAAAGGTGGGGGGGTGGCATTGTATGTCAATAGTGAAATAAGCTGTAAAGAAATAATAGTTGATGGAATAGATAACATGGAGTCCGTCTGGGCAATACTCTCACTGGGTAAAAGGATTACTAGAGCCTCTCCGGGGATAGTGCTTGGGGTGTGCTATAGACCGCCAGGATCGACCCAGGATATGGATAAAGAACTATTTAATGTGTTTAGAGAAGTAAATACTAATAGGAACTGTGTAATTATGGGGGACTTTAACTTCCCGGATATAGATTGGGGAACAAACGCTAGTAGCAATAATAGGGCTCAGATGTTCCTAGATGTGCTTGCTGATCAATTCCTTCATCAAGTGGTAGCTGAACCGACGAGGGGGGAGGCCATTTTAGATTTGATGTTGGTGAGTAGTGAGGACCTCGTTGAGGAAGTGATAGTAGGGGACAACTTGGGCTCCAGTGATCATGAGCTAATCCGGTTTAAACTACATGGAAGGAGTAACAGAATTAAATCAAAGACTAGGGTTTATAACTTTAAAAAGGCTA